TTTCAAATGGGAGGAGTGAGGAGGGGTGATCAAAACAACATGGCGTCGGTGCTCAAAAAGTCTCCGCCCACAGTAGAGTTCCCCACCCTAGCACCTCATAGGAGTGACAGAGTGACATACAGTTACAGTTGCAACGCGGCTGCGTTAGATGGCGGTCGCAGCATGCTTGTGCGGCGGCCATGGCATTGGTTGCGGTATGAGGGCCACCAACTAAGGAATTTCTATTAACCCCGCCACTAGTGTTTATTTATTTATTTATTGAACACCAACGGCAAACACCATTTTACATTAAGTAAAGCTGCAGATAGCCAAAAATTATGAAAAATTAGCTGTCAAAGTGTTGATTGGTAGTAAGTGATGATGGTAGCCTACACATCGTTTATTCATCTTATGAACATTATTACAAACTCGGCCTAGATTTGATTTTGTCAATAAGCTGTCCAATATCGACTCAATCGCAATAGGATTCGTCATTTTACATGCAAAAAACTTGAAACTGATTCTCAGATAAAACAAAAGAAACAAAAGGAACTATTACGACGGCAACGGGAAGTGAAATAGAGGAAAGCAAGTCAGTACACAGTGTTGTGCTGAGTTTCTTTTGATGAGTTGGCAGCATTAAACAGCGCCGCTGCAGCACACCACAGAGTATAAAACCTCCCAAATGCACCTAGAGGCGTGCGGCTTCTGCGGCTCGTAGGTGCGCCGTCGTGCATACAGGCAGCCGCAGCGGCGTGTGGTAGCCGCCGCAGACTATAAGCACCCATTCAACTCAATGCACTTAAGGGCCGTCGAACGCAGTGGCGTGCCGCAGAGTATAAAAGCGGCCTAGTCTCAAACTGCATCCATTCACTCAGTAGTAAAATGCCACTGGGCACCAATAGTCACAGAATCTTAGTGTATACACTACACTTATGTGTTGTTGCAATAACAATAGCCCAAGGGAAATATGAAAAGAAAATGATTTAATATTGCATTGTCATCCATTTGTGAGCTGTTTTAAGTTAATGTCTAGCTTATCGAGAAGTTAGTTTAAAATCGATTGCAAAATTTGTACCGAACAGACAAAAAAGTAAACTTTGTAACATTTGTGAGCTATGTTTCAAGTTTCAAGTCTCTAGCTCATCGGGAAGTTCGTTTAAAAATTTATTAGAAAATAACATTTTGAAAATAGCTTTATTAAAATGTTCGTCTATGCTTCAATCTCCGTTTGTCTGTATCAGCGAATAATCGTTAATCATTGTTAGTCACTTATGAACCCATAGTTTTGTTTAAGCTTACAGTATTTTTGTCTATACTATATAATACGAGCAACCTTTGAGCACATTGATTTAAAAAATGGCTCCTAAGACTGTTAGAAAATGTCCTAAATTTATAGAAATGTCTTAGTTTAAGGGGAAGCAATATTCATGCTAGCCACTGTTCTAAGAAAAATGGATTTTCGTTAAAATTGTAATTGAAATTTTATTATTTTTTACCTCTTATGGAAATCTAGCCCGCTGTTATATATTTAAAACTCTCTCATTTAATTTTAATATTTATTATATGACTGGATTAATTTCTCAATGTTTAATTTTCATTATAAAGAAATAAACATGATTTATAATACAATACTTTAACAATAATTTAGCGACGATGAAGGAAATGACTGAAATACAAGGCCTTATATTACAAGGACCTTAAACAAATTTATGACAGTAATGACACAACAAACAAGTCAACAAACAGAACAGCCTAGATCAAGACAAAGTACCAAGGAACTACTACAAAGCAATGCATTAAAGTTTGATGCTTATGATGAAGATAAGGAAACATTGAAAGCTACACTCAGCGTCTAGAAATATTTTTTTTAATAAAAGGATTGACAGACAATGATTCAGAGACTGAACATCTAAAGGTTTGTTTTTAATCAATTGCTTAGGTGCTAAGCATTCCAATCTGATCTGCAGTCTAACATCTCCAGACAAACCAGACTCAAAAACATACCAAGAGTTACGGTTATTACTAAATGAGCACCTAAGCCCAAAGAGGAATATACTTACAGAACAGCATAAATTCCTATCACGTTTACAAGATAGGAATGAATCAATAACAAATTATGTTACAGTTCTCGAACAATTGGCTTGTTCAGCAGATTTCAAATCTGGTAGTAAATACGGAAAATGCACAAAATCAGTTATAAACCTCATGCTCAGTGCTCAATTCGTCAGAGGCTTATATGACTCAAATATCAGAGAAGACTCTTACAACTGGGTGAAATATCGTTTGAAAAAGCCTTATAAATCGCCTTGGCTATAGAGGCTTTAAAACTTGACAACCATAATTTATATACAGCCAGTAATAATCAGAATGACATTTACAAAATCAGTAAAACAACAAAGAACAAAATCGGGCCTAGAAACAAACAATTCTCAACCAATGGTAAAGTCTTATATGACTCAAGCAAAAAGAAAGACAACAAAAACAAAAGGCTACAAAAACTAGGACTTTCAGATGTCTGTTTACATTGTGGAAGGAATAACCACGAAACAGTCGATTAGACTGGTCGAAGTAGATGAACTAAATTGCAGATATTGTCATAAGGATGGACACATTGAAAAAGTGTGTATAACAAAACGAATTCAGGAAATACAGTCTTCAGACAAAAATATAAAAAGAGTTGATGAAATTGATTCTTAATATGAATATGACATTCAACTGATTATAAATGTATTGAATAATGTTGAAGGAGATGACAGAATCTCTAAACGGATCTCTAAATGGTAAACAACAACGTTTTGAGTGTGATTCCGGAAGTCGTGTTAGCGTAATGAACAATGATGACTTCAAGAAACTAGACTTACGTGTTCCAGTGTGCAAAACAAGTGCTCTTTTTCGATCTTATACTGGACAAATATTCAAACCAATTGATAAACATAAGATATGGAGGGAAATCTTGCAGAGAAGATCTATACATTGTAAATTTACCTAATAATCCTATTCTTGCAAGGGATTGGATACGAAAATTAAAAATTAGCTTAAACAACATTAATCTTGTTAGTATGAAGAAACCAGAGGTTGATACAAACACTGTTATCAAATCCATCAAGCAAAGATTCTCAAGCGTTATTGAGGCGTCTCAAGCGTCGGCCGGCGGCTGAGTTCGGTGGAGAATTTAACTTCTAACTTTACACCTGCCTGAGGGCTAACCTAAAGGTTCTACAAAAAAAATGTAAATGTAAAAAATGAAATTAGGTTCATTTTGAACAAATTTCTCGCTGACGAAAATCCCCTGACCAAAAAATTAAAAACTTATCAGCAGACCAACTTTTTTATGTCCCAAATTTTACACAACCTTGTTTTGCTACATATTTATATATTTTTCAAAAGGGTTAAAATTTCAATTTACATAATTCGAAAACAATATTACTAAGGTGATATATTTTTATTTAATACCTCAAAAATTCAGAATTTTATCTCCACTTTAAGTGGTCGTTTTGACGGTGTTAATGAATCACGGCGAATTAAAAATATTGTGGTCGCCGCGGGCAGTGGAGCTGTCAATTGCACCTCTGCTTAACACAGAAGGTGGCTTCAGCACATGTGTCCCCTACTGTTTAAAGGATTGCCACTCTAGTATAGCACGTATGCCTAGCCTAGATCCAGAGAACTCCGCTAGGGGCAGCAGTGTCCGGGACGATTCTACTGGGCGTCACCCCTGGGCAGTGGTGGAGGTGGCAACGATGGCCGCGTATGCATTCTTGAAACTTCATTGGGTGTAGATCAGCCAAAGAAAAACCAGTCGGATTGAGTTGTGGGAGAAGATTGGTGGGGGTTCTATTGTTCGGCTGTCAAGGATTTTGTTGGCAAAATCGTGCAACAGCACCGAAAGAAGATTCAAACGTCCAATAGAGCCGAAACAATTTAAAGCGTTGGGATTCGGCACTGTTGGATTTATTTTGATTTCGGAGCTAATGGAATGATTCTAAATTCGGTACTCTTACTCATTTTTAGTTTTCGTTCGGTGGTATTGGATTTTAAAATACATCTTTCGGCTCTGTTACACAAACATCTCTTTCGGCGCTATTGGAATTTAAAATGCAACAGCGTCGAACGTGAACTTTGGCAAATTTTGACTAAAAACATCATTCGGCACTATTGGATTCGGTGCTATGGCACCTTCTCGTTTTGCTGCAACATTGATTTTATTCACCAACACTCTTAATTAGCTGTTAAGGTAATTTTTTACATATTAATCATTCTTAGTCTATTGAGGGGCTGCTTGCATTTTGTTATAATTGTATCCTGTAAGCAACTTGTAATGGTTAAATGACTAAAATATTCTTATTGAGACGCCATAACCTCAAAATGGCATAACTGTCTAGAAGACAGGTATGATACTATTAGTAGCATAATATGACAAATTTATTGTAGAATTTATAATTTACTCGCATTTACAAAATTAGCCAATTAGACTTCCAGAATAAGTTTAGGATATGTTTAAATGTTTTATTCTATTTCTCACAAACGCTACATAATGCAAATGTTGATATAAATAAATTATAAACTTTAAACTGTTAAAAGATTTATCATTATTCTGGTGGAGACCCTTCCAGCAATACACCGTCTATATACCAAAATAGAATTTTTTGCTCTTAACAGCAATATAATCATTGACTATTTCTTTGAATAATAGTAAAGCTGTTTGTAAACGTATGGGATTTCACACTTTTAATTTATATTAACTAGTACAGCTTTTGACTCATTTAGCTGGATGATGGAGGTGTGAGCACTTACCTGAAAAGTCTTATTAATAATTATTCGATCGTACATATTTTTTGCCTAAAAATATATTTAGAATGCGCTGATAATATATTACATACGCTTGTACAGCAATTCATTTGTTGATAATGGTGAATTCAAACAAACGGCTCTTATTAATAATTAAAGTCTGAAAATGTTCTATTGGTTTTAGGGTGGCAGGATACTGGGGATAGACAATTGAAGAATATTGATGGAATATGTCGCGATGCCCCTTTTCAAGGGCATCTTTAATTTTATCGGTGTTGCCGGAAGAAAAACAAGACAGCCAGGAAGTTCGTCCGTCATATTTGGACGTGTTTTCATCACACTCAAGAGACACAATGCCTTATTTTCAGGCTGAATCTGCTGACAAAGAAGATGAGCCACCCGCCTATGCAACCCTTGAAGCAATTTCCCCAAGACAAGCTAGTGATGAGAATGTGTCAATACTGCAGATCGAAGGGCCATATTTCATTGAAGAAAGTAACAGATTTGAAGAGAATTCCAGTTTTAACTTAGATTATGAAAGAGAAGAAATAAGAGAAGAAGGAGGAAGGGAAGAAGGAAGAGAAGGGGAAGAAGAAAGAGAAGAAGGAAGAAGAGAAGCAGGAGGAGGGGAAGAAGGAAGAGGAAAAAGAGGAGAAGAAGAAGGAAGAGAAGAGAGAAGAGAGGAAGAAGGAAGAGAAGAGAGAAGAGAGGAAGGAGGAAGAGAAGGAGCGGAAGTAAGAGAGGAAGGACGAGAATTAGAAGTAGATGAAGGTGTTACAAAGAAGGGTACAACAAAAATTAGGCGAAAGAAAAGTACATCAGCGGAAGAAAAAACTCAAAAGAATTAAAAAGTTAAAAGATAGCCACCCACCACGAGCTCCTTGTGCTGAAAAGTGCCGGTACAAATGCAGCACAGTTTTTACAGAAGATTTGCGCACTCAAATGAATTTCGAATTTTGGGAAAACAACTTTACAGGAAGAAGAGACTTCATTACGGTATGTGCCGTTAAGTTGCCTGTTCAACGACGGCGGGGTGACGCAGAAACTAGGAGCAACTCCTTCAAGTACTTCTTTAACGATACAGAAGGAAATCGAATAACAGTATGTAAGTGGGTTTTTCTTACTACTCTTGGTTTCTCAAAGGAAAATAATTCCGTCATTTATGATACGTTAACATCTATTGACAAACATCCAAACCCAAGAAAATTCGATAGAACAGTAATAATCAATCACATAGAGAGATACAATCCAACCATTGCTCACTACCGGCGAGAGCATGCACCAAATAGGCGCTATCTCCCAAACGATATAACTATTCAAAGAATGTACAGTGATTTTTCAAATTCCCACACAGGATTCGATTGTTCCTATGATTTATACAGGAAAGTGGCAAATGAATTAAATATATCGTTTACAAAGCTGGGACATGAAGAATGTGGCATGTGCTTTAAATTTAAAGAGCACGATAGTAGTCATAATGCTGAAAATCTATCGAAAGATTGTGAAACTTGCATTTGTTGGGAGAGCCACATAAACAAAGCTAACGGATCCAGAGATTTGTATAAAAAACATGCAAACATGAAATCGGAAAATTCCTTGTACTTTTGTGCTGATTTGCAGAAAGTTATAATGTTACCAAGAATGGATTATTTTAAAGAATTAGTGTTCACTAGAAGAATGGTGGCTTTCAATGAAAGTTTTGTTCCCCTTGGAATTCAGCCTAAACAAAAACCATTAGCAGTATTGTGGACTGAATCAATTAGTGGAAGAAAAAAAGAGGATATTCTTAACAGCATCCTGCTTCGACCTTGGAAGTTTTCGTGAAGAAAAAAATGTGACTCAAGTGGTATTTGCATTACATCCAAATAAAAAGGCAGAAACATACAAGAAGATGTTGGTAGCAATAGTACATGCATTTTTCTGCCATTTCAGAGATTATAAACATATTTGCCTTTGGTTGGACAACTGCTCGGGACAAAACAAAAACTGGTCTTTTTTACATACCTTGTCTACCTAATTAACCACTGTGAGGAGGTTTCGGTAGACAAGGTAGACATATTCTACTTTGAACCGGGCCATACATTTATGGCCGCAGATTCGTTCCACCATCAGGTGGAATTGTCAATGAAACGTAGTGGGAAAATATACGACTTTCATGATTTTGAAGACTGTGTAAAAAAAATGCAACACGGGAAAGGTCAATACGAAAGTAATTGGTTCTGACGACCTTTTTAAATGGAAAGACTGGAGTTCGAAAACAAAACTAAAGGTTCGTGATGAGAATATGCCCTACTTAAGAGACATCGTTAAGTTAACTGCTGAGAGAGGAAAACAAGTGCTTTTATATTCAACAACGTATATGGAAGAACCAGCAAAAACTTTGAACTTTTTGCAAGCTAAATGTATCAAGAAATTTCCAGTTCCGGAAAAAATGGACAAAGTGCGGGGGTTTAACAAAACTAAAAAGAAAGAGGTAGTTGAGAAGCTCTGTCCGCTCAATCCAATCCAATCACAGGAGTTAGGGCCTATAAGTGGTTTTCTTTCCCGCAGCTATTAGTAAACCAAAAGACCCTAAATCCGTTTCGAAAAAAATAGGTACATCAGCCATAAAAATTGTAGTAATATATTTTTATATAATATAAACAGTTCTTAGACATAGAAAAATAAGTAAAAAAAAACCTAGATGCTAGAACATAAAAAAGTACTTCTTTCGTACTGAAAAGTTTGGGACTTGGGAGATAGACTCTTCATTAACGGGGCAGAATAGTGCTCGTATGACATGGCCCTAAGAAGAGGGAAAACAAGACTGGGTCTATAGTTTGTCAGTGCGTGAAAGATAAAAAGGGTGTAAGGGAAAATTAGTTTGTGCTAATGAAGAAATAGTGAACGAAAACGAACACTCGGATGTGCCCAACGAAGCCGCTACTGATGTGCGTGTCGCTGTTTTAAAATCCCGAAAACGTGCAAGTGAAGACGAAAATGTTCTGATTTCACAGGTATGTGGTGATAACTGTATTTTTTTTTTATTTTACGTTGAGGTGTACAAAAAAAAAAACTAAATGATCTTAAATATCATTGTTGATATTTATGCAAATGCAAAAATGCTATGCAAAAATTAAACTACAGGCTAAAGAGTATAATAAGTTTGGATATTTAATTAATATACACACATTTATTTGAGATGGAACATTTAAAAGTAGTTGTACACAGTTTATTCAGATGTATACCATCCACGTCGACCTTGGAAGTTTTCGTGAAGAAAAAAATGTGACTCAAGTGGTATTTGCATTACATCCAAATAAAAAGGCAGAAACATACAAGAAGATGTTGGTAGCAATAGTTGCTGCAATACCTGATTGGAAACCAAAGTTCATAAACATTGATATTGAAGCGTCAATGATAAGCAAACTGCAGCAAATCCTCCCACACACCACCATACTGGGGTGTTTTTTTTTTTTACTACTCTCAGTGTCTGTGGAGAATGGTACAAACAATTAGCCTGGTAACATTATATCGTGATCATCATTAGGCAATGTGCCGATCTTGCCTTTGTTAAACCCGAAGATTTAGGCAAGGGTTGGTTATTAATACACGCGAGAGCTCCAGAAATTCCCAATCTGACGGAATTTTTGGATAATTTTTTGGACCAGTGGGTCGAAAATCTCAACCTACCACCCGAAATATGGACCTGTTACGGAAGGGAACATCGCACCTCTAATGCCGTCGAAGTTTGGCACCACAAGTTGAATAGTACTTTGGAAGACCACATCCTAGGGTTAAAGATCTGATTGCTGCCTGAAATCAGAGGCTGAGAGTTCGAACTTGCAGATTTCACGGAATTTATTAAATATGGAGGGCAAGAAAAGAAGATAATGTTATATTAATCAGGACGAGCTAATCCGAAGAGTGATGGTGGCCTACGAGGAGCGCGGCGGGTTCAACAGATTGCTACAAAATATTGCATGTGGTTAAGATATGTGCATAAGTTGGACTAAGGAATGAGCTTGGGACAAAACTAATGTTGCACCTATTCATTAACTCTATTTTATATTCAATTTCTTAGACACAGCAGTCTAAAAATATTTTCATTGAGCGTGTAACGCAACGATTAAGTAAGTAACGCAAAGGTTTCTGTTGGAAATCGAGTTATTTTTATATAGTACAGATTCAAGATTGATCAACATCAAATATAGTTATTTGTTAGTCTTTGTTTTTATGAACAGATGTTTTATGTTTTAATTGATATAAACAATAGAGAAGAGTTATTGTAAGAATTCAAAGTGATCAAGAACATAACAATTCTTTTACAGAGAAATGTTTTAAATATTTGTTATGTACATCAGCATTAATGCAGTTCTTTATTATAATAATATTGTAAAAGTTCTTTATTTATCACGAGTTCTAACAGTTTCAGAGACTCACCATGAATTGGGCTTATGCTAAGAATTTTTCTATGTAATGGGAGGCTAGTAATATTTTGGTGTCATAACTTTCATTGAGCTTACCCCAAACAACGGCCATAATATAAACATAACAATATAAAATTCAAGCGCACAGCTGATTTCTAGCGTTGAACGTCGTTGGCTCCATAGAGGTATATTTTTTAAGTTAAGCCCTCAATGTTATTTAAATGGGTTTCATTACCTCACCGAGTGAGTTTTTTTCATCTCTACATCACTCGAGAAGTAAAGAAGATGTATACATCACGCTTGGGATAGGGAAGTTTAACATGGCGGGTTAGGTAAATAATGTTAATTATTAAATTTTTACATGAAATCGGACTGACTAAACCATATGTTAATGGTATAAGTATGGGATTCTGTTCAGCAACGTCATTTGTTTATGTTTATGATTCATTGGTAGAAACTATAATAATGCCTTGGCTATGGTAAACCTTTAGCCAAATAGATGTAGATAAAAGGAGGGAAAGAGAAACATTGTCTCATCTCCCTAAGAGCCTTGAGGAAACAAACAAATATATTACATCAAGTGGAAATAAAGACCAACCAAAAACAGCCATTTATCCAAGAAAATTATCACGAAAACAAATTGTCACATTCGGCTGCAAAACGAATGTTGATGCGTTGAAATCATCAACTTTCACCTTAGTTGATGGGACTTTTGATTATGGTTGCGAGGTTTTAAGCGACTTTTTAAAATTTTTGTTGTAAAAAACTACTATTTCATACCAGCGTTATTTTGTCTCTGGCCGGACCAAATAGAATCGACGTAAGTATCGTTTCTTCAAGTAACTCAAAGTAATAATAGGCGACGATGTTTAAATGGGGTACTGGTTTTTAATTCGTCATAGCTATCCATAATGCATTGATATGGGTCTGATGAATGAATGACATGATATTTGAATGCTGGGTTAATCAAACCCAAAGATGGTATGTGTTTTAAAGTGTATAATGTATATTTAAAGACGTAATTACGTCACTTGCAACGTTAGCTATTTATTTAGTTTAAGCTTTTTTTACTTACATAGATACAAATCTAAAGTGCTGAATACTTTGGCCCCACTAATGGTTAAGCAATAACCATATGCTGTAGATCAGGTATTGGTGAGCATCAGCAATTGTTCTATAGATGACCTGACGTAAATCCACACAGTCTGCAGTCCATCCCTTAGTATAAAACTGTTGTCGTCTTCTTCATTCTGGGTTTTGTGTCCAAAAGCAATAGCTCATGAAACATTTCTATGTAAGGTACACGAAAACATGAGACTTAAAATAAGAAAGCTGAAGGACGCTTAACGCTATAGATAAAAAAATCATGCACAGGAGTTCAAAAGGAGAACTGTGCTTGAATCGGAAGTGTGATAAATATCGGGGACCACGAAGTTAAA